GCAGAAAGGCAGGGGTGGTTCAGACTAGAGTGGTAATGGTTGATAGCAAGGGAGCACAGCAATAGGAGATTGCAGATGGATTGGCCGTGCTAGGACTTTAATCTAAGAAGAACTGAGGATAAAGGAGCCAGATGCCAGCCACAGCCTCTCTGCAAGCAAGAGGTGACTCCCTCAGATTCCTCTGTGGGCTTCTCTTTGATGTCAGTGAGGGGCCCTGTCTAACAGGACATATATAGGTCACCTAGAACCTTCCCATACATCGGGGTCTCCCCTAGCTCATGCTTTCACTGTGAGTACCCACATGTCCCATTCCCATGAGGAGGAACCCAGCACCACTGTCCACTCTGAGCTGTCTCCTAATTGTGCCCATTTCTCAGATGAGGAAACTGAGGCTCAGTCAGGGACAGATGGAGCCCAGGTTAGATCTTCCCTCCCTGCCTTCTTTCCTCTTTCTCCCCTCCTTTCCTTCTTTTCCTAGTGCTGGGGATTCATCCTAGGACCTTTGCAACTGAGCTACACCTGCAGCCCCTTTTCATTTTTAATTTTTGAGACAGTCTCCCTAAGTTGCCCAGGCTGGGCTTGAACTTGTGATCCTCCTGTCTCAGCCTCCCAGAGTGCTGGGGTCACAGGTGTGCCCCCCACGCCCTGCCAGGAGCTTGGGTCTTTAATTAAGGGTGAGGGGCGCAGGTGCTCCTGGGATGTGGCCAGCTGCTGGCGGCTGCCTCATCTCCAGTCTGTCCTGGATGGAGCGGAGTGGGGTTCGAGGTGGGCGAGGCTCTTTTTCCTCTCCTTGCTGGGCCCCTCTTGACCCCTAGAGCCTGGCAGCCCCCCAGCCCAGCCCCCACCAGTTCAGATTCGGCGTCACCTCTGGACCCCACAGCCCCGCCCGGTGCTCAGGTATAGAGACAGCCAGGTTTGTCCTCGGGATGATTCACTTCACTTAGGGCTTAAGAATCCGTCGCCGTGGGTCCCTCGCTGCCTGTACCCCACCTGGTCTGCACGGCCCTCACCGGCCTCCCTCTGGGGGAGGAGGAGGAGGAGGAGAATAAGCCGGCTCCTTTTCCACTGCCTCCCTTGGATATTTTATTACATATATGTATATTTTTCTGATCAGTTACAAAAAATACTTTTCCTCCTGAGTTGCAATTTAAACAATATTTGAAGGCGGCTGAAGCTATCGACCAGACGGTGATGAATTAGAGACGGTAATTCGAAGTCATTGACCGCCCCCACCCCAGGAGGAGCCGGCCGGCCGCGCCTCCCCCAGCCCCTCTCCCACAGCCACAGTTTGAGCTGCTGCTGGGGCGAGCGGGAAGGAGGACGCTGGGGCTCCCTGCCCGTGAAAACGGGACGGGGGGGCTGTAGGATGGGCTTTGGCCTGTCGGGGGCCAGAGTCCTGTACAGTGTCACAGCCAGAACCTGGCTCCCCTCGCCCCAAACACACATTTTACAGATGGGTAAACCGAGGCACGCAGGCTACAAAGCGGGGACTGGGGTTCTGAGGTCTTTGCTGGGTTTCTTGGCAAATAAAGAAATCACGGACGCTGCTCTTGTCTCCTACCCTGTGATCCAGGGGCGGAAGGAGGCCTTGTTTGGGGGGCCTTGGGAGCAGAGGGTCCAGGGAGACCCATGAACTTGACCCCTTGTCTTGCCTTTCTGCTGCCAGTTTCTTGGGCTCTCCGTCTCCGTCTGTCTGTCTGTTCATCTCGGTACTGCCTCAGAATAGTCACGTCCACAACTAGTATATATTTTTTTTTATTTTTATTTTTTTGGTACTGGGAATCGAACTCAGGACCTTATGCTTGCCAGGCAGGCGCTTGTGCCACTGAGCTATATCCCTGGCCCTCTGTCTGCCTGTCTGCCTGTCTGTCTGTCTGTCTGATTCTCTTCCCATCTATTTTCATTCACTCTCCCTCCACAGCCAGTGTGTCTGTCCTTCTCCCTCCTGTCCATGCCTGTCCTTCACCGGCCTGATCTCTCCCCGGCAGGACACTGAAGATTGTGGATACTGTCAAGGCCAAGAAGGGGTCAGCACGCGGGGACTTGGCCGTCGCTGCCCGTGGGTCAGGACTCTGGGGTGCAGGCGACACAGGCGGGTCCTTGGTGGCACGAGGCAGCCTCTCCTGCGCGTGCTGGGGGCTGTCACCACGCTGGGCCTCGTGGTGAATGGGTCGCGCCTGGCCGCCTCCCCCTTAACCGCCGCGATTTGCCACCACTTAACCACTTTTCATTTGCGCAGGGACCGGAACTAAAGGCCTTGGCCGGGGCCTAATTACCCGGCTGCCCTAGGCCACCACTTCTGCCTCCCAGGCGGAGCCCACAGGGTAGACTAGGCCCCAGGCACACCCAGGTGAGGCAGGGTCACAGCCGGGGCTATGGCCCAGACAGAGCAGGGGGCAGGCCGAGTGGGTCCAGTTCATTAGCGCGAAGGTTAGCCCCCTCTCTTGACCTGTTGTGCTTTTTTTTTTTTTTTTTTAAGTACTGGAAATGGAACCCAGGGCCTTTGCACTGAGCTGCATCCCAACCCATTTTATTTTTTTACTTTATTTATTTTTTCCGGTACGGGGAATTGTACGGGGATCTCACGCTTGCTAGGCAGGCACTGTGCCGCTGAGCTAAATCCCCAGCCCCTTTATTTTTTTACTTTGAGATAGGGTCTTGCTAAGTCACTAAGACATCCAGTCTGGACTTGAACTTGCCATCATCCTGCCTCAGCCTCCTAGAGTGCTGGGATGACAAGTGTGCACCCCATGTCCTGCCCCAGGGCTGCCATTCTAAGTCTTGTTTCCTAAGTGGGGAACTCGGCTGGGGGAGCTGAGATGCTGCCGCTGCAAGTCAGGAAGCAGTGCCAAGGTAAACACGGCCTCAGTTTCCCCGCCTGTAATCACAGCCGCAGCAGGCAGAGGAGCATGGTGGTCTAGGTGGCAGTGGGGGCGGGCAGAACTGAGTAGGGGCCCGGGGTTGCTGGTACCTGCATCTCAGTGTTGGGTGAGCACCATTTGCCTGGCGGCAGGTCCCATCTGTGCCACTTGGCAGCTGGCTGGCGGCTGGTCTCTGTGACGCTCTGGCCGACCATTTGTGTGACCCCAAAACATGACATTCAAACACCACTAACGAAGCCTGTCATAGGGGCAACTCTGGGAGGCTGAGGCAGGAGCATTGCAAGTTGGAACCCTGCCCAGCCAACTTAGTGAGACCCTGTCTCAAAATAAAAAGTGGCCAAGGGCTGGGGATGGAGCTCAGTGCAAAGGATTCAACCGCCAGCGAGGCAGCGGGGCACCGGAACTGCTAAGGGGTCATCTGGGACGCACAAGGTGAGTGGGAAGGGCACATGGTGGCCTGCGTCCAATATACACAGCAGGAAGGAGGCAGCGGTGGGCAATGGGTAGGCGATGTGTGGATCCCCTGTTTGGCGAGCGCCCCAGGGCATCTCTTCGCCCCCTCACCTGGGTCAGAGCTCTTCGCCCCCTCAGCTCACCTGTCGCTGAGCGTGGGTGTGACCGAGCGTCCCTGGTGGGAATGTGTGTGTCCCTCCGTGTGTGAGGGGGATACACAGGACAGGTGACACAGCCCGCATCCTGGTAGCCGGTTCCACTGCCCTCCAAGCCACCTCCCCAGGGACTTAGGTACCTGCTGCACTCAAACAGCAGTTTATTTTCCCAAGGCCCGAAGCGGATCCAGGAGTCCCGGAGGAGACTCCAGCCAGACTCTGCAGGAGAGGGAAACTGAGGCGAGCGCGGGGCTGCTGGCTGTGCCGCTGGCCTGGGGTGTGGGGAAGGGAGTCGACTGCGCGCGGGGGGCGGGGGGGGGGGGGCTGCAGGGGGTCAGCCCTGACGTTTGGGAAGCGGGGCGGGGAACACACCCCCCCCCCCCCCCGTGTCACCCACTACTGGGGCTTCCTGCTGGAACCCTGGCAGTCCCCGCCCTTCTCGCCCTTGTGTGAAAGAAGCCGAGCGATCGATCGGGTGCTGGAAGCTGCTATTGTCGCTGAGGCCCGGGGTGCACAGCCCGCTCCCCAACACCAAAAGGGAAATAGCCGCTCCCTAGGGCAGGGGGGCTCTCTTTCTTGCCCCCCACAAACCCGCAGGATACTGGGTCCTGGGCCGGCTTCCTGGCTGGGGGCAGGTGTAGACCCGGCGGGTGTCAGCTGGGAGGGAGGAGGGAGCTGGGTCCCCAGGGGGCAGCACTTGGAGTGGGCCCGGGAGGACAGGAGAAGGACGGAGGGCAAGCGGGCAATAAATCGCCATGGGTTCGTCCGCGCACAGAGGAGTGGAAACCGGAGAGACAAAACCCCAAAAGGGAGGCCGGCCGCGGCGCGCACGCCCGAGGCCTGAGCGAAGGCGGGCGGGGGCGGCCGGCCGGTGTGAAGGCCTCCGGGCCGCGCGAGCCGAGGGTCCCCCGGGCCGCCCCTCCCCCGCCACTCTCGGGTGACCTTTGCCAGCGGCCGGAGTGGGGGAGGGGGCTATCGATCGCAGGGGCCGAGCTACAAAGAAGAGCGCGCCGGGGCTAGGGGCTGAGCACCGCCGGGCCCCAGCTGCAGCGGCGCCAGGGTCCGTGCACAGACTCGGCGCTCGGTGGCCCGAGGCTGGAGGCTCGGCGATCTCTTTCCAGGGCCTTCGGAAAGAAGGGGAGTGGGACCCCCTTCTTCTGGGAGTGGGACCAGCAGCGGCTGGTCCGGGGGCACAGCACCCCTATCCCCAAGGCAGGAGCGCGCGCACACAATGAGCGACCCTGGGCGCTGCGCCCGGAAGCGCGCCGACTCTCCCAGCAGGGCAAAGGCGACCAGAGACCCCTGCTCGTCCCCAAAGGGGCAAGGGCGGCGACGGGGGAGGGGGATGGCGGCACCACTCCTTTCTCCCTTTTGGCGACGGTACGAACACGCAGAGGTTCAGATCTCAGTGTAGCCTCTGGCGGGCGGGTCCCGGCTGGAGAGGCGCACGGCCGGGGCGTGGGGAGGGGCCCGGGTGTCCAGGGCCGGGCGGCGAGCGCGGCGATCCTACCTGCGAGGCGCAGCGCGGACATGCGCTGGAACTCGGGCTCCTGGAGCCATTTCCACATCCTGCGGAAGGTCTCGCGGCCGGACTTCAGCTTGCTCCAGGGCTTGGGGTTGCGCAGCAGGTCGGAGAGGGTGCCCTGCGAGCGGCACAGGATGCGCTGCGCGAAGATGGCCTGCGGGATGCTGTAGCGCTTCAGCTCCGCGGTGATGCGCTGCGCCACCTCCTTGGTGTTGAT